GCCAGGTAGGAACTCAAAGAAGGGAAAGAGGGTTCTCTTAGCACCTAAGAAATCATGCTGTATATATAACCAACTTATTTTAGTAGGCTTTTTTTTTTAATGTTTTATTTATTTCTAGGAGAGAGAGAGAGAGATAGCGTGAGCAGGGGAGGGTCAGAGAGAGAGGGAGTCACAGACTGAAACAGGCTCCAGGCTCTGAGCTGGCAATCAGCACAGAGCCCGACGCGGGGCTCAAACCCCCGAACCGCGAGATCATGACCTAAGCGAAAGTCGGACGCTTAACCGACTAAGCCACCCAGGTGCCCCTTTAGTAGCCTTTTGAGAGGCAGATAGCACAATAGTGGTTCTCAACTCTGGCTGCACTTTAGAATCTCTGAGTTTTTAATAAATGCCTGATGTCACAAGCCCTTCCCACAGAGATTCTGACTTAATTGTTCCAGCGTGGAATGTGAGCACTAGGATATTTTAAAAGCTTTGCATATAATTCTAATGGGAAGTCAAAATTGAAAGACACTCTTATTTAGGTACAAAGCCCCTGTGCCCTTTCATCCAGAAACCCTTTCTTTCTATCCCCACCCCTGCCTTTAGGCCTCTAGCAGTCCTGACGGTTTACCACTTTTTCACCTCTGCCACCCTTCGCTCCAGGACTATGGGACATTGTGTCTTTATGTACAGCCTCAGGATGGAGGAAGAGTGCTTCTCTGTCTAGAAAGGGAGTTTCTCTGAGAGAGAAGGATGGGCCAGTTGGTAGCTGACTTGTCTCTTGTATGGACCTAACCAGTTGGGCTCAGGTCCATTGGGTAGAATAACATACTCCTCATTCTCTAAGAATATTTTTCTAGTAGATGGACTTATCAGGGGAATTTTCTGAGCAATTTGATTCAAATTACAGTCTATTCTTGCAAGTACTTGTAAATACCACAAATCAATAACACTGGTTTCTGTTGTAAGTCAGTGTTATTGAGCACTTGTATTAATGTTTTATGTGCTTAGAAATCCATACAATTACTCAGAGCCTTCTTCTGAAAACCTTGACTATAGCCTTTTAAAAGCTTCTGAGAAAGTCATGTAGTGTGATGGGTGTTTGAATAAATCAGTTACAATTAAGTCTCCTGATTTCCTAATGCCTGATTAATTAATTGCTCGTCCAGAGATCTGGATGCACTTGGTCTGGTCCCCTAATGGTTCTCAATTCTAACTGCACATGAATCACCTAGAGGTCTTTTTAGGAAATACTAATATCTGGGCTCTCTAGAGACAAAAAAAAAAAAAAAAATCTCCGAATGAGGCACAGATATTTCACTTCTGCACCTGTGCCCTGAACCAGGAGATTTTAATGTGGAGCTAAGGGTAAAAACTGCCACTCGTTCACAAACCTTGACAAGCTGTGTTGGGGGCAAATCTGCCAGTCCAACAAATTCACCCAAACCTGTTCCACAAACAGTAGAATTCTTTTCTGAGGTGTTTGGTTTGGTTTAGTTTGATTGGTAAATCCCATAATGCTGAGTTTTGAGCAATGTTCTTGACATTACATTACATTACAGAATTACATTACAGAAGCAAATGTAAACGACCCTTTGGGATTCATCCATTTTGGGGGAGGGTTATATTTAATGTCATAAAAGTTACCAGCTTTTTTTGCTCTTTCATGCCCAACAACTTACTTTGGAACTTGGCAAGAAAGAAGCTGGTCCATTGTGAAGATGGGACATGTTGTTAGTACTTCTGAAATGTATGAATATCAAAGCGACACCATAATCTTCTTTCCTGTGACCAGCAGAAGACAGGAACTTCACCTGTGACTTAACATGAGATGTGAATATCCAAGGAAACTTTCTGTTATGAGAGAATATTTATGGGAGAAGGTTTTGTTTGTTTTGTTTCTGTCAAGACAAACAAAAGTTTTCCTTGCCTCTGGGATTTAGGAGAGCCCTTTCAGTTTCTGTCCTAAAACTTCGAATCGTAGGATCAGAATATTCTCTTTTCCGGCATTGCTGTAAATGTCCTGTACTATCAAATAGGGATTTTTACTAGAGTGAGGTCACATAATCTGATCACTCCTGATTCCAGTGAAGCAGCCAGACAACACGTCGGGTTCATGATAGGCTTCATTGAATTGAATGTGCTACGCAAAGATGCAAGTGAAACTCAGTTTTCTATGCGGACATTAAACAAGGACATTTAGCAATCACTTATAGTTGGAATTTTATTCCAACTAGGCAACTGTAAAAAAAAAAAAAAACAGCCAACACACATATATGTGAACATGTATATATGCCATTTGTAATAAAGAACATTAAGAATTATGCTTAAAATATGTCAAGATAATATTATTAATTGGAAAATATGGAAGGAAGGAGGAAGGAAAGAAAAGGAAGGAAGGGAGGACAAGGAAGTCTGAGACTTTGAGAAACTGTCTTTCTAGGCTGGCCGTTTCCATACAAGCCCTGTGAGAACACGGTGAATGCCAGGAGAATGCACCATGATGCAGGAGAACATAAGTGTCTGGGAGATCTCAGTTTTGTCTCTAATCATCCTTATGATCCAGGGCAGATCTTTATTCACTCCTCAGGGTCTCATCTTCTGAAAAAGACCAAAATTTCCCTTGAGTTCTGAGATTACCCAAGAAGAGGAATGAGGAAAGCAGTGTCACCTAAAAGCAAAAGAGGAGACTTGCTGACAAAAAGTTAGAAAAATGCTAGTTGTATTCCAAACAGGTAAGGCAATAGCATATTCTTAGCAAAATGTGTACTTGAGCTTTCCCCCTCTTCCTGATGTATTAACCTGAGCAATATTGAGGTATCTTAGGTTTATTTAAACAGAAGGGTTCTGCTTTGTGCAACTGCACTGCTAATCAGCAAGCCACAGAACCCCAAGAGAGGAATGTTTTGAATATATGGAAAAGAAATTGCAGGAATATAATCTAGCTTTTTGGCCCTGAAACTATATTCTTCTATGTTCTCTGGCAGTTTGCAAGAATCTGCTTTAGCAGATGGAGGCCACACATTTGATTTTAAGGAAGCTGGGAATGTGTATATTTCCCGTCCCTATCTACACCAGATTTTCTAGATGAGGTTCTAGAATGCTTAGGATTTTGCTCAGTATTAGTATAATAGCCACAAAATCTAATCATTATTTAAAGCCTGCTATACTGATTAGGTCTGTGCTCTGGAGAAACGCATCACATACATAGCTGGACACGTTCTGCCCCACAGAGGAGAAGCCGTGATTGGAGATGAAGTGCTAAGCTTTCAGTCTTTAGCAAGGATAAAAAACTGCATGCAACCCAGTCTTTTCATTTGAGATTTAGAAGGCTCTTGCAGTAATTAACAAGAGAGCCACTTGACTTAGTGAGATCTGTCCTCTTGGGAATTTGGGAAGCTGCCCACAAAAAGCTGGAGCTTTCTGCCCAGGGAGGGGATTACGTCCTGATCCTTGGGAGAAACCCTGTCATTTGTCCTTTGAAGTGACTGTTTCTCTGCAGGTGTCAAGTACCTCTCTTGGGGCTGGCTTTCAGATTTGGAACTTCTCAGTGACCTTTTCTCCATGGGTCTTTGGGAAGTTTGCATGGTAATCCCTTAAAAGCATTACAGAGGTCAGAAACCGTTCTTAAGATAAAATTGAAGACGGCTTCCTAGCACTCTCAACCCTGGCTTCAGTTTTTCTTCAAGGTAGGGCTAGCCCTGGTAAGGCCTTTCGGGCTTTCTCCTTGCCCTATTCAGACATTCCGTGCCCTGCCTGCCAGTTCCCAGCCAAGCATATGGATCCTGATTGCAGTATTTTCCAGATTTGGTCATTCTTTCTGACACGTCCTGTGTTGGGATCTACTGCACCAAGGAGGAGGCCCTAGGAGGTGAGCCCCATGCCTGTTGCCATCTTGGGTAGCTTCTCTAGCTCAGCCTCAGACTCTAGGGCCAGCTCCTCCTTCAGAACCAGCCCTAGGTGTTCACTTTTTCTGGCCCACCTTTCTCTTCTCAGCAAGCCCCTCTCAGTTAGGAAGGGGAAATGATAGCCATATTTAGGATATTAGTGAGTGTTTTCTCTACTCGCTCATGATGCCCGTCAGTGCTTTGGCAGGTGGCATAAGGCTATGGGACAAGGGAGGACACACTAGGGTCAGAATATTTTGCTTTATATCCCTGGCTGTCGTGCTTTTGAAGTTAATTTTATTGGTTGTGCCTCTTTGATTAGTTGTTTCTTTCAAATTTTTAAAATCTTGGTCTTACCACTTTTTTATTTTTTTTAAAAAAATCTGTGTATCACGAATTAATTCATTTTATTTCATTTCATAAAAGGGGAGGTAGATTTTTGATGGCTATTCATGTCACCATTTTTAGAGTAATTGATAAATAGTCTAAAATGTGTTTTGTTGTGTATTTTTGTTTTTGCTAATAGACAGTTTTCTTTAAAAGTAAGACTGGTTTGGGCTCAAGTCCTTACTGTGTGACTTTGACCACACTACTTTACCTCCCGAAGAGTCACTTTCCTCATCTTTAAGAACTGTGGGTAAAATAACACCCCAAACCCATCAATGTTGTCACGATTACATGAAGCAGTAGTGTCTAGCTTTCAGCAGGATGCCACATATAGTAAGCAATCCTTAAATAATAGTGACCATGAAGATGACAAGTGAGTGTACTTTGTCTGGAGGAAGGGACAGAGTTGATGATAGAGGAAGAAGTTAGTGTGTTGGGAATTTGCAAGTTTGGAGCAGACATGAAAGCAACAAAAGGAAACACTTAAAGATCATATTGATAAACAACGGAAAAGAGCTCACATAGTACCTACAATGAATACTGGGATAGACCCTGCTCATACGTTCTACATATCCACACACATATCCATGCTCATTCCCGCTGATCCATACACACTCAACCTGCCTTCGTCTTAGTCTTCAGGAGTGTCCCTGGCTGTTTCTGGCACAGTTAGTTCCATTCCAAATACAGGTCATTCACTTGACTACACTTTGAACTGACCTTGTAAACAAGTTTTTTTTCCCTTCTGTGGTCCATGTGGTTTCTGTGGTCTTCTATTTTTTTAATCTGTTAAAACACTTTGAAGTTCAGCTTTGTGGATTTGACATCCAACTCCCGCTGGAACCTGATGGTGGTTTCCTATTTCTGGTTTATTGCTAAAGAATGATCAGAAAGAGAAAGCATTAGAGCAAGGTCACTCCAATACATTAAATAAGAAATATATCCATGGTGAAAATTTCTGAGGCAAAGAAAAAAGCCTTCCTCTCAGGGCGATTTTCTGTCTTAGTCCTGTCTTAGAAAATGAGCTATAATTCTTTGAATTATTTGCCACATTACTTACTTTATCAACCATGATATTTCGATCCTCACATCTGCTTGTAATTAAAGAAGAGAGTCTCTGAATGTCACAAGGACACTGGAATATGTGCAGTGGAACTTGTAAACTGCTACAGGAAGATTTTGGTAAAATTTCCCTGCCACTTTAAAATCCTGGTACTCACTCGCAGCTATAGGAAACAAACTTAATGGTTACCAGAGAGGGAAGAGTAAAGGGGATTAAAAGGTACAAACTTAGAGTTATAAAATAAGTAGTAGGGATATAATGTACAGCATGGAGTGGCATACATACATACATATATACATTCATCCATTAAACGCTGATACTCAGAACACAAGAACCAAAATGAAACCTCTACTAACACCTTATCCCCCTGAGTGCTGCTAGATCCACAGGTCTGTTCTGAGCTGCTAACATGAGTAACTGTTTGGCCAGATGATATTTGTTCAGATTGTTGATAATAAAGCCTACTTCCAGAGATTCCAAGTGCAATATGGGAGAAGATGAGAGGGTAGAATTGATTAATATGCTCAGAACTGCTTAGAAATCTAGGATAAGGATAAGTAAAACATACCCAAATACAAGATTATAGTGTTACCAACAGAAAGGTCATTTGAAAAGTGCTTCCGCTCATGAGTGTCCAACGTAAAGTGTAAATGTTTCCCCGACAGATGTTGCTGTGGCACATGGCTGAGGCCTTGTGGGCCTGCTGTGGGTCAGCACAGCATTCTTAACAGAGTTGGTATGGATAAGATCTCTGAAGGTCAAGTGGAAGCAGGCAAAGATGACTGTAAGACAATGTAGTGAAAACCAACCTGGTGCCTTAGCAGGTTGTTTGCAGAACTATGCAGTCTTCCCCAAAAGTATCCCTGAAAACAAAACTTCTGGGTTCTGTGGGGCTGTAGATAGATGCATATTCAGCCCTTAAAGTACCAAATCATTCCTGGTTTATGGCTGAGAAAGCAAAAACTTCAATGCAGAAGTACTTTGTAAGCACATCAAGGGAAGACGATAAAGGGACTTACAAGAAGCAGTCTTCCCTATACATTGAGAACAGTGTAACCCCGGACCTGGTAAGAAAGATGTACAGGAAAGTGCATGCTGCCTTATGAGATGCAGTCTAAGAGGAAGAAATATAGGGGAAAAAAAAGTTATTTTAAAAAGGTAGAACCCCCCTAATAGTCTCTTGTCCAGAAGAAAAATAGGGTAGCTCAAAAGACAAGCATCCTTGGAGTGCAGAAGTATGCTGCAAACAGCTAAGCCAAACCATCGCAATCTGTAATTTTCTAAGAAGATTTTCCAGATCAAGATAATAAACATATCAATCAAGAAACAAAGGTTCCACTAACATGCCAACTACATTCTCCCCCTTAGGACACAATACAACACATGAGGGAATGTCTGCTACATGGGATAATAGGAAATATTTTCAAACCCACAGAATAACTAGCTAAAACCTAAAAGCAGAAGGAAATAATATTGGGAATTAGGACTATGGAATCATACTGTTACTCTTCTAATCTAGTCTTCTTCCTCTAAGCAGGCAGGGCTCCTAAACCATGTAATTATGTGGTGAACAGATGGCATAACACCCTTCAATATAGCTTGTTTATATTTGGTATAAAATGCCTGTAAATACATTTAATGCCTCCTCGTCTGTGTTTTGTTGCCTTTAATCCTAGAGCATCACCAGGTTTTATCTTCAAGACCCTGGACTTTATTCTTTTTTCACATACCACATTCATGCATTCATTCATTCATGCATGCATGCATGCATTCAACAAACATTCAACATTTACTTGTGGCAGACCCTGCTATCCTGCATAACCATGTTGCCTACTGAGTGACCCCATACCCTCTCCTTGATCACAGCTAACTGAACCAGCTGTGACAATTGACCCTCAGGTAGTCAGTTCCTTCATATTCTTCCAGAATTTATGCCTTGTGAGATTTGACTAAAAACCTTAAGTGGGGCCAATCTTGCCTGGAAATTCGTATACTTAAAACACTTAGCTATTTAGCAAATCAGGGTCAGAAATGTAAGTATCAAGAATTCTCATGATATAACAGGAGCTGGATCAGTCTCTCTGAATTACCTACAAGCTGAAGAGGCAGGCAGAGTGATGATGGGTCATATACACAGAGTAGCTGAGATCCCATAACCCTGTCCCCCTGTCTCCCCTACCGTGAAAAGATAGCGTAGCCTCCATTCCTAACAGCTTTATAATTTTGGGTCCCCAGGCCCAGTTACATACTGGATCCTGTTCTTGGATTTCTGTGAGCTTCACTCTATCTTTTTCATAACCCAAATTCTTAAGCCAATTTATGTGGGTTCCTACCTCTTTCAACTAAAGACCCCTGGCTTGAACACTGCCTGATTACATGATGTTCTGGAAAAAAAAATGATTGAGTCCATGAATATCCAAAAGAGACACCTTAGTGCAGGTTCACTGAATGACTCTTTATCAGCTAGCCATTGTTATATTAATAAAGATTGCTTATAACAGAAGCACATATAGCTATCAGTTTATATGTAAAAAATGAATGTTAGCCCATCATACTGCAGCAGTTTTGAATACATTGACTATGTAATATATAGCAATTTCTGGATGAAACCTTTCTTACTGGTATCTCTAAAGTATGATGAGTTAGATAAGAAACCAAAATCTCTATGATTGTTTCTATGAATATGGAACTATATATTTAAAACCTCTTCTACACTATTTCCTTTCCAAAACATAAATTTACAACTTCTACTAGGTATCTGTGAGATTATTGCCTTAAACTTTTGTTTCGCACCTCTATTGAGACATACATTAAATCCTGAAACATAATCTTTCATCTTTTGAAACTGTCATCATTATGTCTATTCTGCAGTAATTTGGCCCCAAAATATCCAGAGTAATATAATGCTATAGTATTCTAGTATCATTTTTCAACTCAAAGGAAGCTATATCTACAGTCCAGAAACATCTGGAAGATTCTCTTTTAAAGAATTAAGTTGTTTAGTATCCAAAATCTATAAAGAACCTATCAAACTCAACACCCAAAAAACAATCCAGTGAAAAAATGGGTAGAAGACATAAATAGACACTTTTCCAAAGAAGACATCAGATGGCCAACAGACATATGAAAAGATGCTCAACATCACTCATCATAAAGGAAATACAAATCAAAACCACATTGAGATACTTCCTCACACTGGTCAGAGTGGCTAAAATGAATAACGCAGGAAACAACCAATGTGGGCAAGGATGTAGAGAAATGGGAATCCTCTTTCACTGTTACTGGGAATGCAAACTGGCACAGGTACTCTGAAAAAGAGTGTGGAGGTTCCTCAAGAAATTAAAAATAGAATTACCCTATGACTCAGAAATAGCACTACTAGGAATTTATCCAAACAATGCAGGAGTGCTGATGCATAGGGTCACATATACCCCACTGTTTATAGCAGTTCTATGAACAATAGCTAAATTATGGAAAGAGCCTAAATGTCCATCAACTGATGGATGGATAAAGAAGATGTGGTTTATTTATACAATGGAATACTACTTGGCAATGAGAAAGAATGAAATCTTTCCATTTGCAGCAACGTGGATGGATCTGGTGGGGATTATGCTAAGTGAAATAAGTCAGACAGAGAAAGACAGATATCATATGTTTTCACTAATATGTGGAATTTAAGAAACTTAACAGAAGTCCATGGAGGAGGGGGAGGGGAAAAAGTAGTTTCAAACAGAGAGGGAGGCAAACCATAAGAGACTCTTAAAAACAGAGAACAAACTGAGGGTTGATGTAGGGGCGGGAAAGAGGGGAAAATGGATGACAGGCATTGAGGAGGGCTCTTGTTGGGATGAGCATTGGGTATGGTAGGTAAGCGATGAATCTTGGGAATCTACTCTCAAAGCTAAGAGCACACTGTATATCAATCTTACTCTTATGGTGTGTACGTTTTGTTTTCAAAGAAATCTTTGTCCATGTCAGTGTCATGAGTCCTTTTTCCTAGGCTTACTTTTAAGTTTTATGGTTTTAATTTTTCATGTTTGGGTGTATTTTCCATTTTAATTTTTATGTATAATGTAAGGTAAGAATTAAGGTTCCTTTTCCCCATATGGATATCCAAATGCTTCAGTAGCATCTCTTGAAAACACTGTTCTTTTCCTATGTACTTACTTTAGCTCTTCATTTATTAAAAAAATCAATTAATCAAATATTTATGGGCCTATTTCTGAATTCTCTATATTATTGCATTGAGCCTTACACCAGCACTATACTACCTTTATGATGATAGTTCTATAGTAATTCTTGAAAACAAGTATTGTTAAGTCTTCCAACTTTGTTCAGTTTTTCAAGATTTGTTTGGTTATTCTATGTTTTTCACACTTCCATTTATATATCATATTACAGTAATCATTGAGACCATCAATTTATTTGGCTTTCTCTGACTCAGCATCTTATTAACACTTTTCCTTAAGTATGTGGTTTTCTTGACTACAAAAACTTTTTCCTATTTTTCAAATATTTAATTGGTTGCATTTCTCAATTAAATTTTTAAACTGCTTTGTCTCATATTATAGAAGATGCTTCCTTTATAGTTATGTATAGATAAGTATCTCAGGAGCTGCAGTTAACTCATAATTTCATACAGATTCCATTTTTACCGTGAGAGATCACAGGTAAACATTGGCATAATAAGTAATTTTTTATTCCATTAAAACACAAACTCTACTGATATGTCCATGTGATTAAAGGACTGTCACTTGTATTATGTAAAGAGGAACAACACAACTTAATTCTTTTTTTACTTTTTAATTTCTT